GAGAGAGAGAGAGAGAGAGAGAGAGAGAGAGAGAGAGAGAGAGAGAGAGAGAGAGAGAGAGAGAGAGAGAGAGACAGACAGACAGAGACAGAGACAGAGACACAGAGACACATCTTTGTGGAGGTGTAATATTTAGCTTAGCTGCAGAAGGGCATCCTTTGCAAAGGAAGTATACATATACATAGGCAAGGCGATAGATGGCGCTACTTTATACCTTGTCCGGACTCTTCCCCTTTGGGAGGAAACACACAAAAGATCCTGTTTTGACTCCTGATCGATTTTCTCACATACTGATGTATTTGGGTGATCACCATTCTTCCCTCTCTCTCTCTCTCTCTCTCTCTCTCTCTCTCTCTCTCTCTCTCTCTCTCTCTCTCTCTCTCTGTGTCTGCTTGTCTCTTCCTGTGCATACACTATCAGAGGAGGGTTTGGCATTAGATGTTGTGTGCTTCATCCATATGTGTCCATGCTGGCTCGGGAGGGAGGTGGTGTGCAATTTGGAACAGTTGTCTGTTTCTACCAGCAGACATATTTTATGTCATGCAAACACATTGTATTCTGTCTGAGGTGGATGCTTCTGGTTCATCTGAGGTTTTGAGGGAATACGGGTCGCACCATACCCACTCGCCAAATGCCAACATTTTGGATGTATCCAGTTGGTGTTTGGCGAGCGGTGCAACGAGTCAAAGGTTTTTTGGCTCATTCCCCATTCAGTTGCAAAATAGCGAAGAACTTCAAGAAAGTGATATTAACCAGTCGAAATGAGGACCTAACAATACCACTCAGGTCATGAGTTCAAATCCTGACAATACCAGAAGTGTTTGTAAGTTGCATACAGGATGCGAACAGGTGAGGTTGGGAAGCAACAAGGCGCTGTGGCGTCGGGGCGTCCTTTTGGGGAAAGTAGTCACTAGTGAAGCGAGGGAGTCGTAGGGTGGGTTTGTGGATGTTAGCTGGTTCGCTGGAAGTCGAGGCAGGTGCATGTGGGGTAGTGCAAGCAGGAGGTGGTGTGTTGGGTGCTGGAAGGCGAGGGGACGTTGCGGGTGTGTCGAGCCAGGTGCTCGCGGGGTAGTGCAAGCCGGAGGCGGTGTGTTGGGTGCTGGAAGGCGAGGGGACGTTGCGGGTGTCGAGCCAGGTGCTCCCGGGGTAGTGCAAGCCGGAGGGGTCCTGTTGGGTGCCGGAAGGCAAGGGGGCGTTGCAGGTGTCAGGGCATATTGCGGGTGTCCGGGCATACTCCACATTTTCGGTTTTTTTTTTTTTTTTTTTTGTTCATTGGGGGCTGAGTCCCACTAGCAGCATTGGGTTTCTTCAACTCGTGAATCTTGACACATTTGTGGAGAGGTGCTGTTGAGGAAACTCTGCACATCTCCACAAACATGTCCAGGTTCAGGCGTTGAGGAAACTCAACGCTGCTCGTGGGGTCGAAGCGTGGGTCTACTGCGAAGGAAGTAAATCTTTTCCCAAGGCTGTACATTTTCCTTGCGTTTATTTTTATTTTTTCCCCAAGGCTTTTGTTTTTAAAGTTTAAACCACTTAACTTTCCGTATGTATCTATACTTCGAAATGGTCTGAATACCTACAAGACGCTCAAGTTTCAAACCAGATACGTGTCGAGTGTTGACCAGTGGAGGGAGGCCCTTGGTTGTCTTTTGCTGAGTGGCGCTGGCCAGCGAGAGCGAGAAGTTGCCGAGAACGGAATTCAAAAAGGGAATCATTGAAGAAAAGGAAATTGAAGAAAAAAAATCCAACAATTGGGCGGGAGGGCGGGAGGGAATTTTTTTTCTTTTCTTTTTGTTTCTTACCTGTTTGTGGTAACCGTCAAGAAGAAACAAAAAGAAAGCTGTACAGTCGTAGTAGTACAGAGGGTGTGGTCGTCGTCGAGAAGCTGAGGAGGATGCAGTCGTAGTCATGGTCAGGGTGTAGTGTCCATAGCAGTTGTAGTCGTCAGGATGCGGGCTGCTCTGCAGTCTTGTTGAGCGGTCGGGAGGACGGGCTATGCTCTGTAGTCTTCCGGGGGACGGTGGATGGGCGGCGGAGGTGTATTGAGGAGGTTCGACGGGGTGTGGTAGACGGCGTGGTCGTCTCTGTGCTGTGCTGATCTGCAGTCTTGCGGACGACGGTGGTTGGTGGTTGGGCGGGCGACTGGAGGAAGTCGATCGAATGGCAATCGAATAGATGGTGGCCGATGGTGGGCGGTGGTTTGACGGGCTATGCAGTGAGGGTCAAGCTTTCATAGTGAGGGGCATGACAGACTTTAACATATCAGCGTATGCTTTGACGGGGATGGACTCTAACATGTCAGTGTATGCTTTGACGCAGGCGGACTGGAAGTGTAGTATGGCAGTATGCAGGTGGTGCAAAGGGCGTTGTGCGGTGGCGTGTGTGGCATGTATGGCATCTATGGTCAAGATGGAGACGGGCATGCAGGATTCGGAGGCGCTTGAGGGGTGTCTGAGGCGATGTGTCGTGGAAGTTGTTGTTGAGAAAGGGGAGTTGTGTGGGAGAGAGGAAGGACGAGACTGACGGTGAAAGGACATGAACGGTGAAGCGTGAGGTGAGGGCGTAGTCCAACATTTTGTGGGAGAGTAAGGACGAGACTGATGGTGAAAAGATGTGAACGGTGAAGTGTGAGGTGCATAGTCCAATGTTTTCGTTCCTGCTGACGCGACGGGAGCGCAGAGGTTGTTGGAGTTCGCTATTCCAGCTTTCATTATCGGTCTCTCTCTCTCTCTCTCTCTCTCTCTCTCTCTCTCTCTCTCTCTCTCTCTCTCTCTCTCTCTCTCTCTCTCTCTCTCTCTCTCTCTCTC